AGCTTATTGGAGTGACACTGAAATGCTTCTGGTGGGCCACCATTGAGTTAGCCTTGGTCTCAAGTTGGGGGATGGGATTCTGATCATCCATTCCTTGAACATGTTGGCCCAGAGTTCCAACCCCTTCTTACACTTGATAAAACCTGAGTATGTTCTATTTTCTGAATAAATACCACAAGGTGCCATTGAAAGATCTAAAAGCTAGGAGCTTTGAGCTTAGATTGTTTTTGGTTACATATACCAAAGATCAAAATTGAGTTTCCATGCTCAAGTCGTTAACGATCAGATACGGAAACTAGCAAGAACCCAGTGCCTATTTCTTGGTTGCCTACTGTGATCATGTCGATCCCGATGCATGTCGAAGTATCCTTCAGCAAGATACCGAACCCCAAATTGCTGTGAATGTGTATGAATGACTTAGTTTCTGTTCGGTGGACTTTGCCATCGCCATCAGTGTGTGAGTGGTGCGGAAGACTAGAAAGGTGCTATACAAGTACAGGTCCAATTTACCACTTACAAAAAAACTTTACTGACAGCAACATTTCATCTTGAGGCAAGTTAAAGTTATCTTTTTTTTCTTTATAATATCTCCAGGTCAATAACTTCGTGGTGTTTGAGGGCTTCTTACTGAAACAGATCAGTAACTTTTTCCACTACTCATTATCTTGGATTTGCCTATGTGAAAATGTTATGTAATTGACCCTTCCTAAAGTCCTGCCTTTTTGCTCTGTGCTCTGCAGCACTTTCATCCTTTCCTGTACTTAGATATGCTATGTGAAAAGATAACCACAATAAAGGTAAAGCCATGTGGAACAAACAGTACTGTAGTGGCTGAAAAGATTCGCCTGGCCTACATAAATCATCAAATCATCAATGATAATACTAAATCTTTTCAGTGAAAATTACATTTGTGATTTCCAAACATGATATTCCTGCACTAATTGTGAAATCACATTGCAAAACACAATTACCTGTCAAATAATAAATAGTAAATCGAAACTATATTTTTAGCAATCATAAGAGCCTATATATAGTATATCCGTTACACCTTAAGTTACGCTAGCTAAAGCTAGCAAAATGCTAGTTAACTAGCTAGCTTAACCTTCAACATCAATCATTAGTTAGCTAGTTTAGCTAAACGTTTTGCTAAGATGTGACTATGTCTACTTTTATCTTCTTAACAATCTTCAAATGTGGTTGTCTTTTCCATCATAGAGAGCCTAGCACATAGCAGTACCAGGAAAGGAAGAAGTGACTGACTAAGGCTTCCTGAGCTGTTATTGG